AAAAAAAAAAAAGAAAAAAAAGAAACACCTGGGATGCAGTTTCTTCTGTGTTCATCAAGAACACTCGGGGTGCAGATTCCCGGTCTTAACCTCGGCTTAGAAACTCAGACTCTGGTGTGAGGCCCAGGTAGTGCCTCTTAACAAAGACCCCCCAGGCGAGTCTTAGGTGATAATGCTTGTTCCGGAAGGTTATACAAAGGTTATCATCATCGTGGATGTAAGCAACAGCCCATCCATCGGCATCGGCACGGACAACACTTTATTGTTCCCAGACTACGGAGAAGAAAAGAGGGGCGCAGGGATGAGGCACAGCTCTGGCCCTGTCCTCAAGGAGCTGAGGAGGAAGGACATGAGAAAAATAACACAGTACTGGGGGTTCCCAGCTTGTATACGCTAAGTGCCAGCTAATGTGATGGCTGCTTCTCGAGGTTTTCAGAAGAAAAGATCGTCTGCCTGGAGGGTTTCACTCTGTGTTTAAGGATGGAGGAGCATTTCTTACTGTTCGGGTGATCCTGGCGGACTCGAGGATGGCTCTCAGGAGACTCACTCCCTCTTCTCACTCCCAGCTGGGCCAGAAATTCTTCCTGTCAGCTAGCGTCAAAGCACCTATAGAAAAAAGGGCAGAGCAGCTCTCAGAAGGGATTAGAGGCCCCGGGCGATCAGAGAACAAGGGGGCACCCACTCTGGCTCCAAGGGATATATGCCATCTGCTCTAGGGCCCCCCCCCCGCCATATTTACGATGTCAGTCTTTCTCCTCGGTGTGGCTGCTCAGGCCCACCGAGCCATTTGAGAGCCCAAATCCTCGTCACACAGTTGCAAGTGCCCTGTGGTCACCTGTCTGGTTTCCTGATATCAGTTGTACACGTGGCCCTCTCTCCCCCAAAGTGTGGACAGGTCTCTGAGGGATTCTGGGCCCTGAGTAGGGCGGGGCTTCTTGTTTTAAACTGTAGGAAACTCAAAGGAAGGGTAGCAGTCACACCTGTTCAGATGTGCGGCTGAGTTGGATCCTTTTCCAAGGGCAGGCTTTGGCTGAGGGTCTGGGGAGACGTTAATGGGTGGGGGGGAGGGGGTCTGTGGGCAGCAGGGAGGAAGAGTCAGGAGGGCACTGGACCCCAAGCAGAGACTGGTAGTGAAGGACAGCCTTGGCCTAAAGTCGGCTTTGGCTGGACTACTTACTGATTTATTTTTAGATCGAAGGGAATTCTTTCGGTTCTCAATATTTGAAATGAACCAAGACGTTTAGAAACTGGGGTCAGTGGTCTGCACTGTTCTAAGGCCTGGCCTGACACTTCCCAGACACTCACATTAGTTTTCTCCTTACGGATCGAGTTGTTAATTTGACCCCAAGGAGGCTGCATTTGGGGTTAGGATGGCAGGGTCATGGGAGGGAGGGGGGAGGAGGGGGCTTGATGCCCAGGCTGCATTTTTAGGGCAGCTTCGGGGAGCACTTCCAGCCAAGAGCCCCAGCCTTACAAGCTGAGGTAAATGCATCTTTAACATTCACAGTTCCTTCCTAGTTAACACCATCTTAGTCTCCTTGTAAAAACACATTTGCACCTCAGTAAAGAATGTAATTAACTAGTGACATGACAACAGGAGGAGCTAAACAGTGGCCTGGGCTGGGAGTTGCAGTGGGGAAATGGAAATTCAGACATTTGCCTGAACAAGACTTTCCTGCCTTCCTTCCAGTGTGTGTGTGTGTGTGTGTGTGCGCGTGTGCATGCGCACACCAACACACGCACCACTGGGGGTGAGGGTGGCAGAGACAAAGCACCCGGATCCTGAGGGGGTACGAATTCTCGCCTGCAGGAAAGAGTAAGCTGGGGCATGCCAGGAGGACGGGATGAGCTGAGAGAAGCTTCCAAGATAGGGAGGTTGGTTAATGAATTTCCATTAACAAAAGCTTACTGGGTTGACAACAAACCCTCTGCCCACACCCCAGACTCCTCCCAAGAGGAGCTGAGGAATAGAGACACATTCAAAGCAGCAGGAGGGTCAGGCCCCCCTGGCCAGTGCCAGCCCTGGGACAGCCACACAGAGAGGCCCAAGGGATCAGGACCAACTAAGGGAGGACGTGTCCTGAGCATCAGATTACTCTTGTCCCACTCTCCACACCCCAAGCCTGTTCCTTCTCCCTGGGGCCGTGGGTGAATTCTGTGAATGGCTCCCAGTTCTCTGGCCCCCCACCCCCCAGGCTGCAAACCCAGGAGACGTGTCCTATTCTTCCTTCCCTGAGCCCCACCTCATTTCACTCTGCCACCACTTCCCATCCCTTTCCCATCAGGGCAGAAGATGGTCTTCCCTCCTTTCCATGCCCAGTGACACAACCAAGGATGGGTCCTGTCCCTGGCCATGCCTGCCAGGCCCCTCGTCATCCCCACAGTTTGCCCCTCCAGCTTGTCAGCTGCCTCCAGACTGAGCTTCCCAGGCAGATGCCCTCACTCTGCATCCATCCCAGGCCCCATACGAGGCAGGACCCCACTACTCCTGAGGGGTTTGCCGCGGTGTCAGCTCCTTCCCCAGAACTTTCAGTGACTCCCTACTCATCAAAGGCACCAACAAGGGTTCACTGATGGCATTTTACCAAGTGCAGCCTTCAAGGTGTCTGCAGTCTGGCTCCAAACCGCCCTGCTGGACTCTTTCTCTCCAGTAGCCGCAGGCTCTCTGCCCTCCATCCAAACGCAAGCATTTCCCATTCTCCAAACCTGTCCAGCAGCTTCCCGCTTCTCCTGCGGCCCCAGTTCTATATTTCTACCTGACAGGACCTTAGCGATTCTTCAATATTCAACTCAAACATTCTGGCTCTTTCCTCTAGAACCACAAGTAATTTTACCTCCTCTGTGTTTCCAAGTAACATGCTGTTTATCATTCTCTGGAAGCTCTTGCCACATTCTGTTTCATGCTATAGTTATCTTATGTATTTTTCATCTCTTTCCAAACTGTAAGCTCCTCATGGGCAGAGACCCTGTCTTATGCCTGTAATTTTTCAGTTTACAAAGGACTTTCACATATAATAACTTCTTTAACTCTTAAAGCAACCTATAAAGGTCATTGTTTTAATACAACTTAATTTTCATTATCATTACAAAACAATATATGATGATTAGTACAAAACAGATAAGAGGGAGAAAATTTAAGTGAGTTGTAATCCCACAATACGAAGATAACCACAGTTAATATGTAGAATAAAACTCTTCTTTCTTAAAAACAGGATCATACTATATAGACTGTTCTGTAGTCAGCTTTTTATATTTGTAACATATAAACACCTTTGCATATAAGGAAAATATACATTATAATCCTAGTGGTTAAATGACATTCCATTTATGGATGTACTATAATTATTCAGCCAAATTTCCATCATTTGTTGTCTAGATTATTTCCAGTTTTTGCTATTATAAATAATGCCCATTCTTATAGCTGAATTTTGCTCCAGACTTGATCATTGTCTTAGAATAAGCTTCTAGATGTGGAGCTGCCAAATCCAAAGGTATGTTCACTTTTTAAAAATTTTTACGAATTACTTATAGGAAGGTCACACCAATTTACATCCTATCTGCAATGTATGAGGGACGCCTTTTTCTTTGCCAGGTGGTTGTTTCCATTTTACAGATGTGGATAAGGAGGCTTAGGTACTGGGCTCGCCTCAAAAACCAGCCAGCAAGTGGCATGTCTTCTGATTCCAGACATTGACATTTTGCGATTCCAACCTCCCCCCTTGTCTTTGCTCTTGTAGTTCTTACCCATCCAGAGAGAGTGCCTGCAGGAGTAAGTGCTGAGTAAATGCTGGGCTCCCGGAAGAAAGCAGGGGTGGATATGCCCTGAGTTGTGGGGTGGGCCGTCCCTGGGAGCTCTGCGGTTGTCAGCCTCCCCTGCCTCATTTCCCAGGTGTCTGGGGCCGACTTGGCAGATGGAAGCTCTGTTCTTGGGGAGTTTTTTACTCTTCCTTCCTCCCCTCCTTGCACCCATCTGGGCAGGTGCACATTGCTTCAATTTAGCCTCCATGTATTATGAACCTACCATGTACTGAGGTCTGGGCATACAAAGATCACACACACACACACACACACACGCTCTCCCTGGCTTCGAGGTACTCACAGTCTAGATAATAAGGAAATAATTGTACCTTCCAATGTGTGGCTACTGCTGTTTCTGGCTGCCGGCCTCACCACCCCCTCCTCTGCCCAAGTCCACAGTGTAGGGGTGGGGGAGAGAGAGGGTCTGGGTCAGGTTGTGGAAGCATGGAAGCCCTGCCTGCTGGCTCCTTCAGCCTCTAATTGTGTCCTTTCTTTTTTTTTTAAGGTTTTATTTATTTATTTGTCAGAGAGAGAGATTGAGAGAGAACAAGCAGGAACACAAGCAGGGGGAGTGGGAGAGGGAGAAGCAGGCTTCTGCCGAGCAGGGAGCCCGATGTGGGGCTCGATCCCAGGACTCTGGGATCATGACCTGAGCTGAAGGCAGTCGCTTAACCAACTGAGCCACCCAGGCGCCCTCTAGGAAACCTTTCATTTTGTTTTGTTTTGTTTTTAAGATTTTTATTTATTTATTTGACAGAGAGAGACAGCGAGAGCAGGAACACAAGCAGTGGGGGTGGAAGAGGGAGAAGCAGGCTTCCCGCTGAGCAGGGAGCCCGATGTGGGACTTGATCCCATGACCCTGGAATCATGACCGGAGCTGAAGGCAGACGCTTAACGACTGAGCCCCCCAGGCGCCGCTTGTTGTATCCTTTCTGACTGAGGGGCCCGAGGTCCTTCTCCATGTCCTGGTGCAGCCACAGGCTCTTCCGTGTCTGTCTGTCTTTCTGCTCTAGCTCTAGCTCTGCCTCTAACCGCCACCCCTAAGGTGGCACTGAGGGTCCGGAGCCCCTCAGACAGGAGCCACGGCCACAGTAGAGACGAGAAGCCGACCCTGCCCCCGCGCAGGCATTAAGGACACATTTGAGGGAGGAGGGACGGTCTGAGGTGACAGCCACATGCCCCCATGCGGGGCACCGCTGCAGGGCTACAATGTACACAGATTTCTCCTTTCCTAGAACTGACAACTACCTAGTTCCCAACAGCCTGGAGAAAGCTTCCAGCTTAGTAATCTCCGTTCTGTCACTGTCAGCGACTCCTCTGAGCATAAGGAGGGCAACGCACATGACAGAAAGCGCTGAGGAGAATGAGAGACGGTCTGGGGTCGGGGGGCGTGGAGAGGAGACGGCTCGGGGGTCGCGGCCCCCCGTCCTATCCGGGCGCAGCTCTGGGAGTCCCGCTGTCTCTCCACACTCATGCCTGCCTTGCCTGAGGGAGGGGCCGGAGTGTCTCTTTTTCCATCTTGGCCAGAGAGACACACCACCCTCCCTCTTGTTGCCCTACGAAATCCCTCCCCTCTAGAGACTAGCGTGCGGCCTGCAACACTACCAGCCCGGTCCCGAGGACTTGGGCTTAATTAACAGGCAGTCTGACAGGCAGGGAGGCAGACAGAAAGAGACAGAGAGAGAGAGAGATGGATGGGAAGACATGGGCCCTGGGTGACCCGATGGCCCAGATGGTTTCAGGGACAAAGAAGGAGGCAGGAGCTTCATCTTGAAGATGAAGTCCCTTCTGTCCCTACAAGATCTCCA